GCTTTTACCTCCCTACCCAGGAGAGGGGGGAAAAATCTGCAGCTTGCATGTAGGAAAAAGATGTGAGAGAGGAAGTCAATAAATAGAATCATGGAATCATAGAGTTGGAAGGGACCTCCACGGTCATCTAGTCCAACCCCCTGCACAATGCAGGAAATTCACACCTATTCCCCCCACACACACACACCCCAGTGATCCCTGCTCCATGCTCAGAAGATGGCAACCTCCCCAACGCCCCCTCCAGGATCCCTGGCAAAACTGGCCTGGAGAAAAATTGCTTCCTGACCCCGAAGTGGCAACCAGCATTTCCCTGGGCGTGTAAGAAAGGGCCACAAGAACTAAGCACTGAGGCAACCCTTCCTGCCCTCCCTCTCATGATCTGCCTAAGTTCACAGAATCAGCATTGCTGTCAGATGGCCATCTGTTTGAAAACCTCCAAAGAAGGAGAGCCCACCACCTCCTAAGGAAGCCTGTTCCACTGAGGAACTGCTCTGTCAGGAAGTTCTTCCTAATGTTTAGTCAAAAACTCTTTTGATTTAATTTTTGTCCGGTGGTTCTGGTCCAGCCCTCTGTTCCTAAGCTGTTCTCCCCTGTTTAACTGCAGACCCTGCGGCAACATTCTAGTTTCACTGTTTAGGTTTTATTAGTGTTATGGGAACCTTTAGAAAGTATGAAATCGATTAACAAATGGTATATATCACTGTGGGGAAAATAGTTGTGGAAATTTTGTCTTTAGCCTCTTGTTAAGGAAGCCCATCCCTGAATCGGGGACAGGTGAAAGGAAGAACAGGGTCATTAAGGGGAAATAATTACATTGTAAAGCAGGGGTCCCCAAGTTTGTCAAGCTTGTGAGCATTACTAGGATTTTGGGAAGAGGCAGAGGATACTACTACCGCCAAATGTCTGCCACGGGGGCTGGGGCCAATTAAAAAGTTGGGAAGTTTGAACTTCAAAGTCGAGCATACTCCTATGCAACCCTGCCAGCGGTCCTCCAGGCCTCCAAATGAGTGCTCCCTGCCTATGGAAAGTTGATGCCTCTGCAGCTCTTTTGAAGAGAAGATAGTGAGGACTGGCTCTTTCCTTTGGGAAAGAGGTGCGTCAGGATCAAATGGCTCAGGATTAGGGGTATGTGAGTATGTGTTCCTTTTTAAGGAAGGAATTCACCCTGGCGAATTCAACCTGTTCCCTGTCCATTAGCTTCTCTCTCAGAAAGAACAAAAGAGGAGACAAAGGTCTTCCGTTAGGAATGGATGTTCATGTGAACATGGTATCTGCTTTATACTGTGGGCAAATGTGGCAGTAGTAGACCTTTGGGCCTGAGGGAGTTGAACTGGGAGGGAAGACATAGCCAGACATGCTCTTTCTTCTTCTTGGCCTAGATCTACACCCTGGAGGAAGTGGACGTGCACCCCCGGCTATGCTTCAAGGTGAGACACCCCCTCCCCCCTATCACTGTCACTGCACAGTCGCCCAGGAGCTGCTTCACCTCTTAGGAGATGGTCTGATCACTCCCAAAACTCCTGGGGAGATCTCCCAGAATTATAGCTGATCTCCAGACAGCAGAGATCAGTTCCCCTGGGGAACGTGTCTGATCTGGGGGCTGGACTCTGTGGCATTATACTCTGCTGAGGTCTCTGCCCGCTTCAAATCCTGCCCTTGCCCGGCTTCTCCCCCAGTCTCCATGAATTTCCCAGCCCAGAGTTGGAAACCCTCTATCACAAGCTCAGGAGAGCAACTGGCTTCCATTCCACTCTCATCCCAGTAACAGGTAGAGAGCATTGGGGTTCATTTGTTTATTTACAACATTTATATCCCACCTTTCTGGCCAGTCAGGACCACCAAGGTGGCTAACCATTGAAAACAGAGCATATAAAAAGTACATCGTGAAACGAATTAAACTCCAAACTTATGAGTGTGCATGCGTGTGTGCACACACACACACAGAGCACAAATTAAAACAAGGCGGGAAATAGGGACCATTGAAGGAACACCAGACGAAACAAAAAGGTCTTCACCAGCTGGCGGAAGACTGTGATAGAGGCGACAGAAAAAAGATTCACGGAAAGGGAGTTCCATAATTTTGGCTCTAAGGGATGTCTCTGATTTATATGTCTGAACTTCCCCTATTGGAATCTGGCCTGGGCTGAACTGAACCAAACCTGAGGAAGGCTTCTTAGTCCATGCTGTTCCTCATATGCTCCAGAGGGGGCGCTTGACAACAATCTTCAAAAGCACGAAGGGCTCTCCCAACAAGGATGGAGACTCTGCATGGGTGTTGCCCTGTTAGTTGCTCCATATGAGAAAAAATAGGTTTCCCCACCCAAGGTTTGGATTGGACCGTTGGAGGTACTGTCCAGCTGCAAAAGGGTTGGGAGTACTAGAATGGGTCTTCAGGACCATTATGAGATCTCCATTGCTGGTGGTCTTTAAGAGCAGGTTGGCCAAATGTTGGCTTGTGTTAGTTTAAGGGGATCCAGGCGACAGGAGAAGTAGCTAGATGATCAGTCGTATTCCTGTTTCTGTAGATGGTCCGTCCCTGGAGGAGAAGAGGGCAGGTTTTTATTTCTCAGATACGATGCTTCAGGAAGGCAGAGAGCTGGACTTGCTGGTCCACAGGGTTGCCATCCTCCAGGCAGGACCTGAGGATCCCCTGGAATTCTGGCCGATCTCAAGACTACAGAGATCAGTTCCCCTGGAGGAAATTAAGACTCTGGAGGGTGGACCCTGTGGCATTACACTTTGCTGAGGTCCATCCCTTCCCCAAAGCCTGCCCTTCCCAGGCTCTACCCTACACTTCCAGGAATCTCCCAACTCAGAGTTGGCAACCCTGCCAGCGGTCCTCCAGGCCTCTTTTAGCTGATGAGATTCTGTGAAGTGTAAAGTGCAGGATTTCCACAGGACTCTGCCGCTGACTTTGCTCTTTCCTCTTTAGTTTTCTTACAGTAACAGCAGCCATGTTGCGTGCCCACGCCGGACAGGTGAGTCTGCCTTAAGACCCAGCACAAACATTGGTTTTCTACCATGGAATAGTAAGGAGACTGTGGAGAGAGGGATTGAGTTCTGAATATTGAACCAGTCATTGAGTAGCTCTGGGAATTGCACTCATAGGTCGAATCTGCATTTGTCTATCCCACCGGTGTCCCAATCTTCTGACTCCGCCTTCAAAAAAGCTGTCTACATTTGGTTTCGTTTTCACACCTCAACAGCGCTAGCATACTTTTGCACGTCCACATATGTTTATCACCTCCTTGTGGTGGCTCCACTGTCATTGCGCCTCCCCACTGCTTTTAAAGAATCTTCTCCAAACAACGTTCAAACAAGCATAGAGAAAGACGGTATCACAGCAGCACGAAACTGATTTAAAAATGCAAATGCAGATTCGACCATAGTGTGAGCACTGGACCTAAAGAGGTGCCCATCTCTGGTACTCTTTTTCCTTCAGGAGAAGTCCCACCTGCTGATTCTCACTGGCACAATATTCCCTTTGAAGGCTAGATATTGGCAATCCCAAATTTCTCTTCACTGAATCCCTGGCTTTGCCTCCGGACTAATCCCAAACATTGTGCCATAGCATCGAGGCCAACACTTGCTGCAAGAAGAAAGACCCTCTTGGAGCACCATCTTTCCACATCAGTTATGGAACCTCTGTGGCTCCTATAACTGAACAACCCATTGCCATGCTACCTGCAGCGGACTGGATTATTTATTTTAGTTCTTTAATTGAATTTCTAGCCCACCCTTCCCTGCACAGCAGGGTTCAGCGTGGGTTACAACAGTAAATATACACAATAAGATAAATCAATTAAAAAACAATCCACACAATATTTTTAAAAAAACCTATACAGCAGCAAATAGTACATAAGATGGCAATCAAGGAGAGTTAGCACGTGGCCCCCAGAAAACTTTCAGGGCTTTTTTTTGTAGAAAAAGACCAGCAGGAACTCGTTAGCATAATAGGCCACACCCAACAGCAGAAACATATTAGCATATTAGGCCACACCCCTGACAGCACAGCTCATTAGCTTATTAGGCCGCACCCCCATGTTACCAGAAGTGTGGACATCCAGCCACACCAACCTTTTGCTTTTTATTCTGTTTACCTTGTTTGTTGTCAAAACCCAGGGCTTTTTTTGTAGCAGGAACTCCTTTGCATGTTAGGCCATACACCACTGTAGCCAATCCTAATGAGTTTCTGCTGTTGGGTGTGGCCTATTATGTTAATGAGTTCCTGCTGGGCGTGGCCAACTCGGGAGCCAGCCGGAACTCCGTTCCTGTGTGTTCCTGCCCAAAAATAGCCCTGGATGAAGCCGTGTATTGGACAGGTAACAGAGGGCAATGAATAGACAGCACTGCATACATGGCACAAAAGTGGGGCAGGAAAGGCTGATTGAGTTGGATCTTTGTCACCTCAGCCATAGGCCTGGCGGAACATCTCTGTTTTACAGGCCTTGTGGAATGGCAACAAATCCCACAGGGCCCCGCTCTCATTTGGGAGAGTGTTCTACCAGGCTGGAGCAAGAGCTGAAAAGGCTCCAGCTCTGGTCAAGACTAAGTGTATCTCCTTTGGACTGGGGACCACCACCAGCAGATGTTGATCTGTGAAGCATAAAGCTCTATGCGGGACATATGGAGAAAGACAGTCCTGCAGATATGTTGGTCCCAGACCGCACAGGGCTTTAAAGGTTAATTACCTTTTGTCCATGACTATCCCTCATCTATGGTTTGCACTTGCTGGTTCCCTTTGCAGTTGCCAAAAGTGACTAAGAGTGCTTTTCCATACATACTTTTGCTTTTAGCAACCAGATACCAGTCATTCAGTATATTTATGTAACATATACTGAATGACTGGTATCTGATTGCTAAAAGCAAAATTATGTGGTCAGCCTAGTGCTGCAATTGTGCCAGGAAAAACAGCACAGAGAACACTGGAAGTGACAGCAACATTGTGTACTATAAAGGAGGGAAGAAATAATGGAATCGCCCCTGCTACGCTGACGTTGTAGAAAAGAGCAAGAGTCCAGTAGCACCTTAAAGAGTAACAAAATTTGTGGCAGGGGATGAGCTTTCATGCAGCTTCCCTTTGGTACAGTGCTGCGGCTCATTGGCAGAGCATCTGCTTGGCATGCAGAAGGTCCCAGGTTCAATCTCCAGTTAAAAGGATCTGGCAGTAGGTGAGGGGAAAGACCTCTGCCTGAGACCCTGGAAAGCTGCTGAAGAGTTGACAGTACTGACCTTGATGGGCCAAGGGTCTGATTAAGTATAAGGCAGTTTTCATGTGTTCATGAGTCACTGCTCACTTCTTCAGTGACTCACAAAAGCTCATACCCTGCAACAAATTTTATTAGTCCTTAAGGTGCTAATGGACTCTTGCTCTTTTCTACTGCTACAGACAGACTAACACCAATGTTCCCTCTAAACTGTGGAGTCTTGTGAGCAAAAATTCTAGTGTGTGAGCTACTGGTATTGAAGTTGTGAGCAAGCAATTTGGATACTGCATAAATTAGTTTGCTCTGGAGCCATCCTTCCTGAGCTGAGACTAAAATGTGTGAACTGGAGGCTTAAAAACTGTGAGCTAGCTCACACTAATTCAGCTTAGAGGGAACACTGACTAACACGGCTACTCATCTTGATCTGTGCTAATGTTGTTTCACAGAGGACGTGTGCTGTAGGACATTTGGCAGCTAACCCAGATGGTAACATAATCACCCCCACAACTTAACTACTATAAATCATGAACTGCCGAAGGCAAAGAGTTTCTTTCTGTTTGTGGACACTTTAAAGCAAGACAAATAATATTGTCCACAGGGGTGTTTTGTTTAATGACAATACGAGGGTTTGTTCTGCAGAGTTTAAAGTTAAAGCCTTCGTTTAGTTTCTGCCAGTACTTAAGAACATAAGAACATAAGAGATGCCAATGTTGGATCAGGCCAAAGGCCCATCCAGTCCAACACTCTGTATCCCACAGTGGCCAGAAATACCAGTGCCATCAGGAGGTCCACCAGTGGGGCCAGGACATTAGAAGCCCTCCCACTGTTGACCCCCCCCAAGCACCAAGATGACAGAGCATCACTTGCCCCAGAGTCCCTATCTATACCTTGTGGCTAATAGCCACTGATGGACCTCTGCTCCATATGCTTATCTAAACTACTTCATAGCTGTTATTCTTAAGACCTGCATTTGCATTCGTAATGCCAAAACCAGACTGCACCCCTGAAACCACAGAAGTGCCGGCTACTCATACACGCCTTGGTTCTGCTGCACAGATGCTGAACTTTCCCTAGGAATCCCTAGGTATGGTTTAGAAGAAAGGAATCCTTTAAAAGAAAATGAGAACTGTACATAATTCTCTGCTGTGTAAGATGATAGGTTGGATTTGAAGTACTGTGACTGGTGCAGGATTCACCAAAGGAGTCTTTGCCCCTTCCCACTGTGGGACTCCTGTACCCAAACACCACTCCTGAGGAGCGAGGGCCTCTCAGGAATGGTGCTGGTTGCAGTGCAAGCAACTGCATCAATGCATCGTTTGCTAGTGAGCTCAGGAGTGATACAGAGATAGAAGAAGTAGTCAATCAGTCAATCAATTTATTTTGTTTAGCCATAGGCCGTCACAAAGTTACAGAAACCACAGCTGAATAAAATACAGATTATACAAACAGTACAAATTTACAGATACACAAAGAGAATTCCACTAAAACAAAAGTTAGTTAGTAGCAAAATTCAATATATTGACAACAGGTTCAAGTAGCATTCTCTTTCTTTGCAGTGTTAGACCTTGTCTTCATAGCACCGACGGCAAAAAGTGAGACTCTGTATGTAACATGCACATTGGTATCAGAGAGCAAAAATATGATTTTCTCAGTGTCTGTATAGAAGCTGGATAAAATTCCTGCCAAAAACTTAGACCTAAGGTCAGAATATAAAGGGCAGAAGAGGATATAATGAGGTAAATCCTCTAATGTGTGAGATCCACAGATACAGACTGTTTGGGCCATTGGAATTTAAGAATAATGACCAGACAATAATGCCGAGGGCATAGATTGAAATTGCAATAAAGTAAAGGACGCTCTAAGATTATGGTTAGAGATGTTAACAAGATAGGGAGTTCGAAAGTGGTCGCATTTTATAAATTTGAACCATGGTACTTCTTTTGAGTTTAAAATTAGAGATTGATCAAACAATGCATCGGAGTTAAAAATCCAATCCATAAGTTGGGGGGATAGAACAAGTGGGTATTGGCCTTGAGTCTTTTTGCGAAAGGCAGACTCTATAAATGCTAAAAAAATATATTAAGTTTGTATTTGGTATAAGCCACTTTGAACATAGCTGAAAGTGTGTGTGTGGGGGGGGATATACAAATAATACGGGATGCGTAAGGATATCGGCCACAGAGGTTACATCGTTCTTGTGTGTGCGTTTTAAAGAAAGCTTTCCCTTTGCCACTAGCAGAGATGTGATTAGTGGGAGTCATTCAGCCACCTTTCATCTCTTTCTGCTTTTCCCTTCTAGACCCTGCCTGGAATGTATCTCTCAGTGTCAACTTCCTGCAGATCCACTTACATCTCCACTCCCGTGTACCAGCATCCTTCAGTTCAGCCTTATGTCAGCAGCAGCCACCTCTGGGCCAGTGTGTGCCAGAACCACCAGTCTATACCATCACCCATGTATGTGGCTACTAGAGAAGAGAGGGGAGAAGTAGCTGGGAGGGGTGTGGACACTGAAGATAACATGAGATTGACATATTATTGTTATTGATATTTTGCAGCCAGAGGGACAGGGCCCATGGGATTTGGACCTTATCCTGCCTTGGCGGATCTCAAGGAGCTGTGTACTGGTAAGGATCAGCCCCAGCCTCTGTATTCGATACATAATTCTCCAAGAAGAGAACCAAGTGAGCAGGTTGAGCTGCTTGCAGATTCCCAGAGACCACTTTCATTAGACAACTACTTAACAATAGCCAGACTAAAGCAAACTCTTGCCAGATCCAGGTTGCGTGTCTCTGTTTCCGATATGAAAACCCTCTTTTCTTGATTTGGCAGGTCTGGCGTTCTGATGTGCGCTTCTCTGGCAAACAGCTTCTGTGCCCAGATAGTAAGTTACAGTGCCATGGTAAATTGGGAACATGACGGCTATAAGGGACAGGTCCTGGTTTTAAGAGAGAGAGTAGCAGTTTGTGTCACGTCCTGCATAGCAGAGATGGGGCATCGGTGGGTTCTCTTTGGTGTGTTTCTATGTGGAGAAAGAGCAAGGCATTTTCTGGAAGGGTTGGGGAGCAGTGTTGGATCTTGTTGGAAAAGGTCAGAGTGAAGTTTTGCTCAGGAGGGTGGGAGACATTCCAGACCTCTTCTATGGAGGCAAAGCCTATTTCACATTCTTTTATGCCAAGATGAGGAGCTGTTCAATGAAGGGGGGGGGAATCAGGACCCTCCCAGGGAAAGCAGAATGGAACTTCCAGAGAAGGTTGATCTGGCGCTAGGTTTCCCACGAGGGCTGCCAACTTCAGCTTGGAAAATTCTTGGAAATTTGGAGGCAGTGCCTGTGGAGAGCAGAGTTTGGGGAGGGCTGGGAGCTCAGCAGTGACAGTGATTTCCTCCTGGGGAACTGATCTCTGTAGTCGGAAGATGACTTCTGGGAGAACTCTACTCCCCAGCTGGTGGTTGGCAACCCGAGGTTCCATCATAGGGTTGATTATAAGAGATGGGCAGCATACAAACACATGTATATGCCCCCATTGGGGAGAAGAGACAGCATAAAGACTTTTCAGCTGGAGGATGGGTGATAAGTCAAGAAAGCACACACAATTTTTTTTCGAAATGGACAAGTAGCAGAAACGGCTTTTGGGGGTGTGGAGTTTGCACACCCTCTTTCTAATCTCCGTCTCCTTCTCTGCCAGTTTCTCGCAAGCATTGGGGACTACTTGCGTTTGGATTGGGACTAGGACTGGGATTGCTGGTGGGCGTCATCCTGCTGATTCGCTGGGGCTTGCACGGGTTCCATAGAGGTGAGGAGCATTGGTGGGACTGAAGGATGTTGTGTTTGGGGTAGATGTGAGATTCAGGGATCTGTACGACCGGTGTGGAAAGCCAGATGGCACAGAAAAGGGCAACTAAAATTAGCAAGAAGATGGAACATCTTTGCCATCTGTTCACCAATCAAATCTATTGTGGTGCAAAGTGAAAATATCAGTCTGGGGGATCACTACAGGAAGAACAATCTGGCAAATCCAAGGTGAGTTAGAGGAAAGAGACCATAAGAGCCTCGAGCTTCAAGAAGTCAAGAGGGTGCGTTCAGACACGCCGTTTCAGCCGGCATATACTGTACCGGTTGGAACCGGTGCAATTTATGCCGGCTGAAACGCGATCACACTCACCTCCTGTCTGCGGATCCCATCGCTGTATGCCCGTCCACACACAGCGGGCATCGGCGTTCTTTGTTGTTGTTTTTTTAAACTCAGTTTGAGCATGCGCATAGGCAGCCATCCACAGAATGGCGATCTTCGCGCATGCGCAAAAAAACCCGTCTTACATTTAAACTTTAAAGGTAAGGACTTACCTTTAAAGTTTAAAGAGCAAAGTAGCCTCCCTGAGGTCCCAGGCGCCTCCGAAACGCTAAACTAAGACCCTTTTCTTTTCTTTTTTTTAAACAAACGCCAGGGCGAAGCTTCGCCCAAGCACATATCGCCAACCTTTAAAAAAAAAAAATGGCGGGCGAAAATCAGAAGCCTCAGGCTTCCGAACGGAAGTTGTTTCTCAACGGTGGAGAGCGATCAGACGGCGAGTACAGCAATTACAACCGTTGTACTCAGGATACCACCACTTGGGGACCTAGTGGCAGAGTAGAACGGTTTAAAGGGCTTTGCAACGGTTAGGGACGGAAGGCAGATGTTCTACGCGTGAACGCTGGTAAGTACACTGATTGCAACCAGCACCTATTGCAAACGCCGCGTCTGAACGCACCCAAGAGAGTGGCAAAGTGGCAAATCTGGGGGCTAAGGCATGGGCACCCTTGGGAAGAGCAGTTAGGAGGTATGGTGTTTAAGCAATCATTTGCCTGGGAAGTATTGCCTGGGAAGAAGGAATAAAAGGCCTTGCCCCAAAGTGGGAGGTGGTTCACTCTTCGGAAGCAGAGCTAGTCAGAAGTTGCTACAGATGGAGGGATCCCCTCATCCAGAAAAGGGTGAGTCAGCTTTAGGCCAAACACCTAGAGAAGGCTAGGTACACTATAGTCAGATGCACTGGGGTTTCTTATTTTGCTGGTTTGTCTACCTTTACGGTGCTCAATTTTCCTATATGTTATTAAATTACAGTTTTGTTAAATCCTTCTAATAAAAATAGTTTGTTACTCTGCCTGAGTCCTCACACCTCATTCGGTCACGTGTACCTATTGGCAAAGGAGTGTATAAAGGGGTAGGGTGGGTGCTGTGGGCCCTCCCAAGGATACCCATACCATTGTGGTGGCCACCATTAGAGAACCTTGCTAGCCACTGCCCACAACACCAGCATACATAGCTCTACCATCCTCCATTTTATCTCGACAACAGTCTTGTAAGGCATAATAGCTGACAAACCCTGATGATTCTATATTTTCCCCCTACCCCTTCTTCCCTTCTGTATCCCACCTTTCTTAGAGAAAATTTAAAAAAAAAATTGAAAAAAACAATCTTGTAAGGCAGATTAGGCTAAAACAGATTGACCGGCCAGTCAATTTCATGGCATAGTGTTGGGTTGCCAGGTCTGGGTTGGAAAATACCTGGAGACTTTGGGGGTGGATCCAGGAGAGGGTGGGGTTTGGGGAGGGGAGGGGCCTCAGCATGGTACAATGCCATAGAGTCCCCCCTTCAAAGCAGCTGTTTTCTCCAGGGGAGCTGATCTCTGTCAGCTGGAGATGAGTTGTAAGAGCAGGAGATCCTCCCCAGGTCCCACCTGGAGGCTGGCAAGCATAGTGGGAATCTAAACCTGGGTCTACCAGCTCTGAAGTCTACATCACCATGACTCCTTGCGAAAGAGTGAGGTTGCACTTTAATTTTATATAGGGAAACACATAGGAAGAATTTCCTTTATTTCTCAGCCCACCTTTTCTATGAAGCCTCAGTATATGTTATTAAATTTGCATATATACATCCCATATCTTTTACTTTGTTTATTGTTATTCTGTTCCAACATGTATATGTCAGCTCCTTGGGTGCATTGGTGGTGCTTTAAAATATACAATAGTGATAGTTCTTCACTGGTTGCCCATTCTCATAAATGTGTGCCTGTGTGATGAAATAGTGAGAAATCTTCTCTGTTGAAAATTAAACCGCACCAGGAGTGTATTCATGGTACTAGAATTTGAGTTGAGGCTGCAGGCAGCTCAGTAGCTTTGCATGTAGAAGTCTACAAGTTCAGTCCCTGGCATCTCTAGTTCAAAGGACAATATTGATCTTGATGAACCTGTGTTCTGCCTCAATATAACAGGGTTGCCAACTTTGGGTTGAAAATATCTGGAGATTTTGGGGGTGGAACCTGGAGAGGGAAGGGACCTCAGCCGGGTATAATGCCATAGATTTCATCCACCATGTCAGCCATTTTCTCCAGGGGGAACTGATCTTGGTTTTCTGGAGATGAATTGTAATAGCAGGAGATCTCCAGGTGCCACCTGGAGGTTGGGGCCAAAAATGAGAGATCATGAGAGGAAGTGGAATTCCAAAAACAACATCCGTGACAAAAATAACGAAGAGTCAATAAAGATAGTTGCAAAAATGTTTACTGTGGTAATATCTGTAGAAAATTTTCTTCTATTATCACTCACACGCTAACGAATACTGCGCAATGAACAATTTGTTTCACAATATTTGCTTTATCTGTGTAGCAATCCCAGTTCTTATCAATTACTACTTATCAACTCTTTTTTTAAAATATTTTTTTTATTTTGAAATATAATAGTAAACATATAAAACATTCAACATTAAAATACCATAGTATGAGAAACAACTTTAAAACATCTCTAAGCAAATATTTGTCAGGTTACATACGGTGGAAAACTTCATAGTACTTAGGAGGAACTGTATAATTAGAAGTCTCAGCATTGAAAACATATTCAAGAAAAGGAAACCATTTCATATGTAGATTCGATTTCTTAGAATGGACATTTACTGGGGCTATAACATCCGAGATTTTGTCCATGATATAGAAGTCCCATATTTTTAGATGCCAAGAGGACAATAGCAATTTGTTAGGGGACTTCCAGCAGCTGGCTTTAACCACTTTAGCTGCAGTTAAACAAAACCGACATAAGTTCCTGGCGGATTTTAGGGATATGGGGATCATTCCAAAGATCTAACAATATAAGTTCAGGTTGCAAAGGTATCAAATAACCAGTGATCATTTTTATAGACAATATCACCTTAGACCAAAACCTCTGAACATAAATGCATGACCACCAGCAAAGATAGAAAGTACCTTGCTCACCACAAGAGCGCCAACAAAGTGGGGAGTACGAAGGGGACATTTTATCAACTCTTGAAGGAAACATTCCATGTTGACTCTCTAATAACAGAACCCAAGGGGTAGTAAGTAGTAATTGATAATAATTGGGATTACTACACGCTCAGATAAAGCAAATATTGTGAAACAAATTGTTCATTGCGCAGTATTTGTTAGCGTGTGAGTGATAATAGAAAATTTTCTACAGAAATTACTACAGTAAACGTTTTTGCAACTTATCTTTATTGACTCTTCATTATTTTTGTCACGGGTGTTATTTTTGGAATTCCGCCACCTGGAGGTTGGCAACTCTAGGCAGCTTTGTGTGTTCAGTTTCTCATTTATGTATTGAAAGTATTTGTAACCCATGCACCCGGGAGGTCCCAAGGCCTCGTTTCCTGCAAAAGGTGATTGATAACAACGTTGCCAATATTGTGGATTCAGGTGGGTAGCTGAGTTAGTCTGAAGTAATCGAGCAAAATTCGACCAGTATGGACTGGTAACTTCCATTTCAATGCAGCTGAAGAAGTGTACATGAAAACTTATACCTTGAACAAAACTTTGTTGGTCTTAAAGTTGCCACTGGACTTGGATTTTGTTCTGTTGCCATTATTGGTTTCTGATAGGATCGGGTGGAAAGTTTGACAGGCAACAGAGAGGCGTGTTCTTGATGCTGAGGGAAGATGCAGTCCCATACCGGTCAAATGCAAACACTGTCTCCTTTCTTTCCCCAGATACCCTTGGCAGAGGCCACTCCCGTCCCATCCTGTTGATATATTCCCCTGATTCGGAGGAGCACAAGCAGTTGGTGTGCGCCTTTGCTGCGCTGCTGCACTCAGCGCTGTGCTGCCCTGTGCTGCTGGACCTCTGGGAACTGGGCCACGTAGGGCGGCTGGGCATCTTGCCCTGGATGTACGCCCAGCGAGAACATGTCAGCCAGGAGCAGGGGCAAGTGCTGGTCCTGTGGAGTGCCGGCAGCGCTCATGCCTACGGACTGTGGCAAGGGAAAGCAAGAGCTGCCCCCCGGCTGGCCCCGGAGCCTCACGACCTGTTTGGGGCAGCCATGGCCTGTTTGCAAGGCGAACTGCGGGGCACGTCAGGAGCTGCCCGACAAAGCGACTGGGTCATAGCCTATTTCAGCAAGCTGTGCGGACGACGGGACATTCCCCAGGCCCTGCGCTATCTTCCCCGCTACCGCCTGCCTCAGGAACTGCCTGGCCTAGTGAGGGTACTGCAGGGCCCTTCCAGTTCCACTCCCAGCTGGTTCCATGCCAGTGCCAAGTCCTTAGTGCACCGCCTACTCAGGGCTGAGAAGAAGAAAGGCCCGCGAAGCTGGCCCCATCAGCCCCGGAGGAAAGCCACAGACAGGCGCGCAGGCTCTCTCTTCCCTCTTGCTCGTCCCAAAGTGCGCATGCCAAACTGCACTTGAGTGATTGCTAAGAGACATACATCTACGGAATGAGCACGGGTGGTTCAGTGGACCTGCCTCACGAGTTGTGTGTGAGTGGCAGGACCTGGGAACAAAGCGGGCCTCAGAAAGGTCTGCTCCATTCTAGAACCTAAAGTCTTGTAGCCTGCTAAAGGGCTGTAGCCTGCTGCTCCCAAGGAGAAGGGCCAACTCAGCCTGGTATGGTAAGGTAAGGAGAGGCTGCCTTGCATGCCAGCTGGTCCTGCCCTCGCATGGTGGCCATGGCAACTGTTGTCATGCCGATGACAGAGCACTGTAAGTGGATGCTAGTAACAGAAAGGCTGAAGGAAAGGTTGGAAAGCTGGTTGTGCAGAAAGAGGGACTGTGCAATATTTGTATCGTATGTACGTGGTAAGCATGTACAAAGATTGTAGGTGGCTGTGTTGGCTCACAGAAAAGTTCCCAAAAGAAAAGGAACACAATGTGTTGCTATTAGGAGTCTAGTGGCACTTTAAAGGCTAACAAGAGGTATTCCAGCATAAGGTATCGTGAACCAGACCACATCACATAATGATGGGCGAGCTTTCTAGTTCCCCAGAACTCTTTGGGTAGGGTGTTCAGCACAATGCGACAAATGCACTGGGGGAGAGGAGATAAAAAGGTGTTTCAAGACACGATGGAAAAGCTGCAGTCTGCCGCATGTGGAGTCTGGAATGGAATGCACTCTGAATTGTATTATGTGGGGTTCAGTGCAAAAGATATTTCAGGATGCACCAAGGCCATTGTGACATAGATGCCAGCAAAACGGCCATATTCTCTTTGAGACTATAAAATGTAGGAGTTGATCAGATGTCCTTCCAGCCCATGTGTAATTCCTGCAAGTGGTTTCCCAATTCGAGCTCTCTACGAAGGCCTGTTGTTAGGGGTGAGAGAGGGCAGAAGGTAATGCCAATCACACTGAGCCCACCTACCCTTTCCACTGCCAAGAACCATGGGAATTTGCCCACAACTTGATAGCTTAATGGGAGAGGCTGAGACTGTACATTGTTCTCTGACACATTCCACAAGTCATAAATCTCTTTGAGAGCTCCCGTTCAGCTAGAAACAAAGCTAGGAGTGTGGCAAAAGGGGGGGGTGTCTTCATTTTACTGTGTGCGTTCCAGATGTCAGGGCTGGCTCTCATTTGGGTCCTACATCTATTCTTGTGTGTGTGATTTTTTGTGTGCAGAATAGGGTAATAAAATGATGTTTTTTTTAAAAAAGGTAAAGGTCATGCTTAGTTTATTTACGGTGCCACTCGACTTTCAAAGGGTGAATTGTTTCACTTTTCTTTTTTTGCACTGTTCAATGTATGCGGAACCTCTTCTATTACCTGGTTTGGGGAGAGTGGCTGCCTTTTATATAAACAAGCCTCTCAGCCTCTTGCCTTTGAAGATAAGAGAACTTCACAGACCTTGTTTGCTAAAAAGGCTGCGGGATGAAAGGGTTCCTGTAGGCCCCTCCCAGACAGCTTCCAGATGGTTTCTCTTATTAATATTATTGTGATTCACCTATGCCACTTCTGTGTGTCTTAAACTGGAAGGAGAGCCAGTTTGGTGTAGGGATTAGGAGCACAGACTCTAATCTGGGAGGTCTGGGTTTGATTCCCCACTTTACACATGCAGCTGCTGGTGTGACCTTGGGCCAGTCACAAGTTCTTTCAGGGCTGTTATCTCAAGGGCAGTTCTCAAGAGAGCTATCTCAGCCCCGCCTACTACCTCACAGGGTGTCTGTTGTGGAGGGGGGAGGGAAAGGGATTGTAAACTGCTCTGAGACTCCTTCAGGTACTGAGGGGCGGGGTATAAATCCAATCTTTTCTTCTTATTCCATATACCATGAAAGACATGGGAAGTACCAAGGATTACCAACTCCAGGTTAGGAAATTACTGGAGCTTTGGGGGTGGAGCCTGTGGTGGAGGGTAGAGTTTGGGGGAGGGTTGCCAGTTCCGGGTTGGGGCTTGGGGAGAGTGGGGTTTGAGGAGCGGAGGGACCTCAGTGAGGCACAATGCCATAGGCTCCACACACACTCAAGCGGCCATTTTCTCCAGGAAAAGTGATCTCCATCCTCTGGAGGTAATTTGTAATTCTGGAAGATCTCCAAGCCTCACCTGGAAATTGGCCACCCTAATTTGGGGAGGGACCTCAGTGTGGTATAATGCCAGAAAAAGTCCACCCTTCAAAGCAGCCATGTTCTCCAGGGGAACCGATCTCTGTAGGCTGGAGATCAGTTGTATACTCAGGAAATCTCCAAGCGCCATCTGGAGATTGGCAACCCTTGTGCTATTATATCCCTCCCGGTGTCTCCATGACTGTGACTCAGTCCCATATTACATTTTTGTACTCTTGAGCAACATGGGTGGGGCATTTACTTGACACGCACTATGTTCCATTCCTAAGCATATTTTCTAGGAAGTAAAGCACCATTTGTTTCTGTGGAATTATTGTGCAAATGTACTTAGCCGGTTCCAGTAGCTGGGACACATCAAGGTGAGTCCTGTGTTACAGGAGAAGAGCGGGATATAAATATGCTAAAATATATGAACACAGCTCACCTGGCTAACCAGAGGTCCAGTTAGGTCAAGTGTTTTTGCTACCTGTCTTGAACAGCAGAGGGGGGGGGGAGAGATCATGCATATTGAAATGTTGCCAGCTCCAGGTTGGGTAATACCTGGAGATTTGGGAGATGAAGCCTGAGGAGGATGGGGATTTGGGGAGGGGAGGGACCTCAGCACCTTCCAAAGCAGCTGTTTTCTGGAGGTGAATGAGATTGCTGAGCAGTCGGGTTAGAACAACAGATAAAAGGAAGTACTTCTTCCCCCAAAGAGTGATTAACACATGGAATTCACTGCCACAGGAGGTGGCAGCGGCTACAAGCATGGACGGCTTCAAGAGGGAATTAGGTAAACATATGGAGCGGAGGTCCATCAGTAGCTGTTAGCCACAAGGTATAGATAGGAACTCTCAGTATGAGCAGGGGTCATTTCCTGCGGGAGCGCACAGGAGCGGAGCTCCGGCAGTAAGGAGCCCAGGGGGTGGGCACATGCAACAAGCCCCACCCCCTGCTCTCAGCAGCCCTCAGATGGGCCACAAGGAGCAAGAAGCAGCCAGGTAAGTTGCAGAGCCTCCCGCCCCCGCGGCCCACCTCCAGGTACAAGCTCTCCCTCCTCTGTGACGGTGGATCTGCACGTTCTCCCCCCCCCCAATAGCTAGGAATCCAAGAGTCCAGTGGAGGCTGAGCAGTGGGTTTTGCCTTCTGACACACCTCCGGTGATGTCAGGGGGTGTGGCATATGCAAATAGGTTATGGTAATGAGTTATGCTAATGAGCTCTGGCACCTCTTTTTCTACGAAATGACCCCTGAGTATGAGGAAAATGATGCTCTGTCTTCTTGGTGCTTGGGAAGGGGGTCAACAGTGGGAGGGCTTCTAGTGTCCTGGCCCCACTGATGGACTTCCTGATGGCACCTGGTATTTTTGGCCACTGTGTGACAGAGTGTTGGACTGGATGGGCCACTGGCCTGATCCAGCGTTGGCTTCTCTTTATGTTCTTACTAGAAATAAGGCCCGTTGTGGTAATAAATACAACGGGAGCTAGAAAGAGGCTCTGGGAGAGTGCTCTGGCTTTGGGCAAACAGTGTCAGTCTGCTTTTAAAACATGAACCTGGGACCTGCACACCACCAGAATACAGCAGGTTCCATATGCAACTGACATTCCAACTGCCTTGGGGGGGGGAGTTTGAGGTGTGGAATGGAGTGAAGTCCAATCAGCTTCCATATGCAAAAGACCAGGTTGTCGCAGCAGTTGTGGTGTGGGCGGGACCCGGGCTTTGCCTTCTGATTGGTGGCGATATATGCTGAGGAGCAGTGCTATCAGCCATACACTAAGGGAGTGCATTTTAGAATTAGAACTTTGGCACCCACTATTCAATTATATATAAGGAGAGATCTGTTGCTTGAAGATCCCAGAAGATCTCCAGCCACCACCTGGAGGTTGGCAGTCCTCTGGTGGTCTGCATTTGGCTAAATGGGCCACAAGCTGCCCAGACCAAGTTACGTCTTTAAAAATGGCACTGAGAGGAGCAGTCCCCATCTCTTCCCTCTCCTGCTGCCACTGTTCTGTTCCCTCCATTTTATCCAGCTCACAATAAGAGGGTTCCAAGTTCAACCCCACTCCAAAATTCTAAACCCTTCTGAGATTCAAATATGGGAGTCCAGTGGATAAAATGTATGGTATTCCCTTCCCAGAACAGACACCCTATGAGGTGGGTATGGCTGAGAGAGCTCTTTTGAGAACTTCTCATGAGAGAACAGCTCTGAATGAACTTGTAACTGACCCAAGGTCACACTGGCAGCTGCATGTGGAGGAGTGGGGAATCAAACCCAGTTTTCCCAAATTAGAGTCCACGCTCCTAACCACTACACAAACTGTGCTGCATGTGTACATTTCTGTGACTACATGGATGTAAATCTGCTCAGAGGGCTTATCATTTTGTTTACCTTGTTTATACCCTGCCTTCCTCTGCATTGGGACCCAAAGCAGCTTCCATCATTCTCCTCTCCTCCATGTTATCCTCACAGCCACCCTGTGAGGTAGGTTAGGCTGAGAGGGTGTGACTGGCCAGCCAGCTTCCTGGGCAAATTGAATATTTGACCCTGGGTCTCCCAGGTCCTAGGCTGACATTCTAACCACAACACCATCTTCCAGTGAGAAATCCAGGGTAGCAGGAGAATGGTGTAGTATTCTGCAAGCTTTGGGAAGATGTTAAGAGACGATCAGTTTTCCAAGGGGTTATTTGCCCAGGTTAAGGTAGTGCTTGGCAAATGATCCTTTTCTGCTCTTCTGTGCATGCTACGGGCTGAACAGGGCTCTTTTTGTAGAAAAAGCCCAGCAGGAACTCATTAGCATAATAGGCCACACCCAACAACAGGAACTCATTAGCATATTGGGCCACACCCCTGACAGCACAGCTCATTAGCACATTAGACTGCACCCCCATG